TATGACAAGAATTTCCTCATCATATTCAGGATCTTGAATATCTGAAGAATTGAGGCAAATAAATCATTTTGAACACTCTATTTTAGGAATTGGAATCGATTCAAAAAAGTAGTTAAATGATCCGCCATATATATAAATAATTTCGGGTGGAAATGTAACTATATCAATTAATTTTGAACAATGAAGCTACTTCAAAAGGTATAGGCGTAATTTCTTACATTGATCTTAAAAAATTTAGTGAACGAAAAATTAGTGAAAGTACATTTCAACAATATAAGCTAACCGAGGAAATTGACGTTTAAAATAAAGTATTGAGTGCTTTTATGGAGGATACCAATTGGGCTTTTTTTCCTTTTTATGTTGGTGAACAACTTCGACATTGATTTAGCAATATATATTCGTTCCTGACACCTGAAATCATCCAATTATACAATGAACTTTTATTTTTTGAAATCTAATAACGCGTTCGAATTACATTTTTTTTTTTTTAATTTTGAAAATATCTTTACGTATAATTTCTCACCAGTAGTACAGAATATAACCATACCTTTACTCTAATTATCGTACATAAGCAACGTTTTTTAATTACCCTCATTTTCGATATCATTTGGAACAATTTGAATCGGGATACCATCGCAAGGTTCAAATTCTGGAGTGAACTCTTGGTATTTCACTAAGAATAAAATAATCAAAATCAAGAAAGTATTTATATAATTTAATCAATATAAGAATAATTGATTGCTCACAATAAAATCCCAAATCATTTCCAAAATTTCTATGACAAATTATTGAATTCATTGTTTGAAGGAGAATAATAATTATAGCGATTAAACCTATATAAAAATACATCGAGTAAGTTAAACATTGCATTACTTTTATTCAAACTTAATAATAAACGAATTAATCTTACTTAAAACAAATACTATTTGGAACCATGAATCATGCTGAATAAAGTATTTAAATCCACATATATGTTCATTTAATAAGTTATTTGAACAGTGATTATAGAGACTTTCGATGATATAATAAAGTTCATAAGCATTTCCGATATATATAATGATCATTAATTTATGTGATTCGTCTTTAATCTAGATAAAGAAAAAATATCACAACTTTAATTAATGAAATGTACAAAGATAATTATTTAGGTTGAAACAAATCACATTACCGCCTTTGGAATGAATGCAACATATAGTTGAAGAATAAAAAACCATGGAATTAATTCATAAAAAGATATTTTTGGATCGATTCCTAAATTTAAGTTGTACCCATAAACCCTCGCAAGTTTTTTAAACCATGTTATATATGCTAAAGTTCCAAAATGTACCGCTTGTGCATGTATAAGAATTAGATTTTTTTGATAGGTTTTATACATTTCTATAAAAAGAGTAAAAAATGATAAAATTTATGAACGATAAATATTATTAGTGCAACCATGAACCACCGTTTAGAATACTTACTTTTAATTTGTTCTTTTTTTGTGATTTTCAAATCTTTTATTACTGGCCAAATCCTTAGCCGAAAAGAAATATTCATCAAATTAAGATTTAGATTTATATTACAAAAAAAAAAATTTTATCTATTTGAATGATATTTAAACATACCTTCTTTTACACATATTAATGACTAAGATTAAGTAATAAATAGTAAATGACGAATACAAAATAGCCCAAGTAACAAGAAAATTAAAAAAAAACTCTTTTGACTCTTTCACTCTTTCATCCTGTACTGCGAAATCAAGACAAACTACATTAATACACCCCAGAATAATGGTTAAAGAGATTGATAACGTTGACCCAATCATAATAATCCTAAGAAAGAAATATATGATGCCGTGTAATATTGATCGTTGTTGTAACTATACAAATCGTATAAATTTTATTTAGGTAAATGCGGCACATAAGAATAAAAAATTGAAATTATTTTAAAACATTACTGCTACAATTCCGGATATTTTATAATAAATTTCAGGAAATAATATAAGCAATGGTCGTAATGAATTTAAACCAATAACCAAATAGAAGCCGAAAATGCCAGTTATGACACATTCAAGGATATAAGAAACTATAAATAATTTCTCAACAAAAGTGTAATGAGATAGAAACGAATTGCGTGTAAACTTTGAGAAATACTCCATCTTATTTTTTATTTACAATTTAAAATTGACGATAATGTTAGTTAATTTATAATTGAGGAAAATTTCATTTTAAATGATGCATTTTCGAATTTGGTAATATTAAATAATAAGTCGGAGGTCGCACCACATGCTCTTACATTATCACATGGGCATGTATCTTACTGCGGAATTTTCACTACCGATGCGCAGTTATAAACGAAGCAAGAAAAATAAGTTTTATTATTTTTTTGATAACTTCATAAACATTTCACTAAATGTATCAGGTAATATTGCCTTTAGCAAATTCTTTTCAACAAAAATGGTCCATTGTTATTAAGCGTTGGTAACAAAATTTCTCAATGACATGCTTAGTATATATCAAGATACTGCATTTGTGAGGTAATTTGACAAGTAAAAATAAAATATATAGACAAACGAAATTTCTTAGTTTTTTATTATAAAAACAATATTATGAATTTCTTTACACCATTCTAAAGACTTTTTTTTACACATTATGCATTGTTTCATTTAACACTATTTAAGATTTATTAGAATTAGTTCTTAATGATTTAATAACATCTGAATTATCTATTAATAATAATTATAAATCTCATAATTTAGAGAAAAAAAAAAACACATTTTATTGTCAATTTATATTTTGTAAATTACCTCCAAATATAATATTTTAATCATCCCTTTTCTAACAAAATAAAATCTTAGTCGTCATGAAAATTTTACTTATACTAAAAAAATAATAATAGAATTCAAACATTCAATATTGTTTGGTACAATAAAATCCACTTTATTTATCGAACATTAAATTGAAATTCAGGTCTATTTTTCTAATATTCTAAAATTTTTTTTTTCACTAATATATATATTTTTTGAAAGCCCCTAGGATTTGTTCTTTCACTCTTTGAGAATAAAAATAAAATAAAATATATATATTTATTATTTATTTTTCAATGATCGATCGATCTGTAATGAAAAATCTCCGATATTCGTTGGATACAAATAATTATTTATTAAAAGAATATTCAAATATCCTATTCCAAACTCAAACCATAGATTTTCATTATGCCACGCTTTTGAAAGAAGTATTAGAGTTATTTTTAACTTAAAAATTTCATCGTACTGACTAAATGACATGACATATGCGGAACGTAAATTTTATGTAATTTACGGTAGATGTTGGAACACCGATATTCGAATTCAATATTTTTTTTATATATATTTGAATATTTGAAACTCATTTGAATTTCAAACGGAAACCCTAATTACAATCATCGTAATTATGCAGGCAGTAAGCAATATATGTATAGATTAAAAAATACTTTGTTATTCAAAATATCGTTTATTTATTTAGATTTAGATCTTTGTTATATCATATATTGTGTAAGGCATTGATTTTATTGTTATTTTAAAATAATACAGCGCTTGTTATATACATTTGTTGAATGAAATATTTCAAGCATGGTTTTTTTTAATATTTGTTTGTGTGATGATATTGTATCGATAGGCCATTCTCGAAATCATATTTCCTACAATAAAATATCAGAAGTATCCTCTTGTATAAGTAGTCACAATTTCGTAAAATCTTTGTTATTTTATTTCTAAATAGCGAATTTTTAATAATTCATGCAGTTGAAATAAAAAATTTCTTAACCGATTGCGAAATCGACTACGCCAATGCAAATCTATTGAACTCTTGTTCGTCTTTATTGTTAGATTTTTTTTCACCACAGACAACATTGCTTTTAAAAGTTAATTCAATAATATTGTTTACGTCATTTTTGAAAATTTACAGCATTGTTATCGTTTTTAATCAAATTTTGTTCAAGCAATTTAAAGAATTCCTGACAAGATTTACGGAAAATTTCAAATCTCATTGAAAGCGACAGTGAACATTATATACGCCTGCCCTGTAAATTATTATCCCTTTTCCTTCATAATTTAATTTGTGTAACCCATCGGTGCTTAACATACAGTTAATAACGAAAAAGCGATCATTTAAGTGGTTTATAAATTTCACAAATTTCACATAATTTCGTTGCAAATTTTCTAAAATTCATTGAATCCTGAATATGAAGATAATAAAGAAAATGAATAAAGTTACGACAAATTGGGAATGACATGTATAGGATTTTCTCAGGTATAAATTGTATAAAATCAAGCATGTAAACTTTAAAAAACTAATGCCATTATTGAAACAAAATGATAAACTGAGATTTGTAAAATGTGATATTTATTCCACCATTCCAAAAGGAATGAGTACGTTATTATTATTCAAAAGTTTGCCAAAAGGCTAAAAATTTTTTTTCACCTAATATCAGGTATTATGGCAAATTAGTATGTATTGACAGTGTATTCTATAATTCATTCTAAACATTCAAAAATATCTATATAGTAGAGTCACCACTATACGTATTTTTACGTGTTCGTGATTAAATTATTTTATTGTTTCACACAAACCTTACCTATGAAAAGCTTCGGAGAATGATACTGTTAAAGAGAATGAGGCTGTTAAAGGAATACAAAGTTCGTCAACATTTTATAGATTATATGATTTAGAAACAATTCAAATGGTATTAAATCATTTGGAATTAATTCTAATAAATCTTAAAGAATTAAATGAGATGAGATTATGTATTTTATTTTATATTCATATTTATAAAGTATAAGTAATAAAGTTAGATTAGACTTTTTATATATACAGTATATTTGTGGCTTAACCTGGTTGTCAATAGTGATTTTCAATGGAAATAATAAGTCGGTTTACAATAAAATTCTTATTTTACATTTTAATTTCGTGCCTTCGCATTAGGCGATAAATAACTACATAAAGTAAATCGTATTAATTGTTAATTTCTTATATATCTCTCTATAATTGGCCTTTGAAAGATTTAGTTTGTTTGCTTAATTTCAGTTTAATTCTAAGTTAACTGGTAATCAAACTCAACAAAAATTATATGGAATTTAAATCTTTCTAATTGTATCAAATTGTTTGCAAATTAATGATGATTTCTCAACAATCTAAAGTATTAGAAAATTCCACAAATTAACAGCATTATTACGTGTTTTGAGGTTTAATGATATCAAATGTATCAAACGCTCTTATTACATTGAGAGGCCACTTTAAGTTACTTTCTTTACGAATACACGGGTACACAATGCCAAATATATTTATTCAGATTTGACTTTGTTTACTTTTTTTTAGCGGAAAAAGTTCTTCAATTACAACGAGGAATTAAACTTATCATGATATTTTGTGTCATTGGTTTGTTTATTCTTCTTAACATTACCATCAATATTTTTGCACATTTCTTAATAGATGTATAATTAACAAAAGAAATAAAATTTTTTTGCTGCAGTTTGCATATGACCAAATATGTCCAGAAATCTCAATTTATTAGCTATATATGTGACCAAACTGCCTAAATTTCATGTCTTGAAATTAGAAATAAATGTTATAATCGTTAGTCTTATGGAATGAGGAATTTATATAGAGTTGCATCAATTGCACAAATGTTTGAAGTTGACGAAGAGCTATAGGAGAAACGTTTATCTCATGTCACAGCATTTCGATAGGTGGTAGTTTTTCCATACCTTATATAAATAAACTTTTAAAATAACTATACTATCACGGGATAAATATAGTCGCGGAAACAGTTAAGATCCTATACCCCAGTACAGAATAAATATGTTCAAAATATAGAAATAGGAAGGAATTTAAAAAATGAAAAAATTGTTATTTCTGATACTCGACCAAGTTTTTAAATTGGGTTGTCATAATATTATAAATTTGTTAATTTTTTTATTTGCTCCAAAATTCAAACCAATTTACCAATTATAATCAATTCAATTCATGTTTCGTAAAAATGTTTCCCTTGGCAGAGAGTTGGAAAGGTACTTTTTTATGGATTACCATCGAAATTTTTTTTATCATATAACGAATTTTGTGGCTTTTGAAATTAGAATGACGTAAGATATAAAATAATTTGATTCGTGTTTATCGGCAATAAATATTTTGTAATCTCTCTATACAGAATTATCAAAAAAATGAAATAACCCCAAAAAATTAATATTCAATTTCATCAGGGAAATTATTTATGCAAAATTCTCCGCAGTTATTTACAGTTTTGTATATTTACGAAGTATTACGCAATAAACCGTTGTAAGTATTTATATCTTCATCATCGTAGTACTCTAAGGTTTAAGTCTCTCCGTAATATTTACCGTAATACTACAATGAACCATCG